CAAACCCTAATCTAACCCTAAACCCTAACCTTAACCTAACCCTAAACCCTAATCTAACCCTAAACCCTAACCTTAGCCCTAAACCCTAATCTAACCCTAACCCTAAACCCTAACCTTAACCTAACCCTTAACCCTAATTTTAACCCCAAACCCTAACCCTATGGACGAGTTTCTATACAATATGCATTATGAATTCAGAACTTCTGAGCCTTTATCAAACCTCAACAAGTTTTTAAATCATGTAAAAGAAGAATATCCACTGTAATTCATTACTTTCTTGTAATATATTTTTACTTTATACTGTCTTCTGATTGGCTAATAATTGAAATTGCTCAAACGCTTCTCATTGGCTGGTCCCTAAATTAGAGTTTCGCCGTCCCATCTGTTTTAACCTCTCATTAATCACCTCCTCTCTAAAATCCGCTGTGAACCGACCGTATGTTAGCATCGCGTCTTGAACTTGGCTCTGTGACCTTGAAATTGCTCAAACGCTTCTGATTGGCTCGTCGCTAAATTAGAGTCTCGCCCTAAACTGGTTCATTTTACATTAATTTAGTTAGATGCCATATACTACTTAAATAGATATATCAGCAACCTTACATTAATTACTCGTCATTTCAAAGATAAACCGTTTGATTTCGAACGGTGGGTACTTATGTATTCTTCATTGATAAGGGTTAGATAAAGCACCTTTTGTGAAACACACATTACTTAAAATTCAAGTTATAACTAAATCATTTACTAGTACTCATCGGTAAGCTTTCGGCGTTGAGAAAGTTCTGATGTCTATTTCTAATATTAGATACAAAAATTGTAGAATTTCCAGCTTAATTTCTCATTGATGTCACTCATGTTAACAAGAAAACAATGGGATGTAAAATACTGGCTTAACTAGTTGTTAAGTAAGGTCAATTAGGAATCTGTCATAAATTAACTGTTCGACGAGTGATTCATATTCACGTTATCATTTGTGAATTGATTATTCTAAAATGACGATTCATTACTCCGTTTAGCTTCTAACCATTACCTTCCCTATTTCCTCCCATGAATATTATCAGTCAGGTTTTGTTACTCGTTTCTTCGGATTTTCTCGCCTGGTCAAACCGGAAATGAGTCTATCCAGCATTTCATTTCAAGATCACTATGTTATAACAGAAAAAGTGTTTTCATTACAATGAAGTCCAAATTAAAATAAACTGCTGGAGAATTTCTGACAATGAAACCCGAAAGGCTTTTGTCACTCTGTTTGGGATTTTCCTACTGAATTTACTTGCATTCTACTGCTAGTCAACATACAAATTTACCAAAAACATGTGACTAAATGGGAATATCAAGGTTACCCTCTCAGTATACACGTATGGCGGATGGTGACTAATTGCTTCTAGTAACCATCATTGACAACGGGAAGATGCGAACCCTCAAACACAAAATAAAATGCTTCTTTTAAAACGCTTTGTAAACTTCATTCTCTTCAAGTACAAAAATTAACTTATCTTACTTTTCTGAGTGTTATCGTTATCATCCACAAACTAAATGCACAACTTTTGTAACTAAAGATACTGAAACGCAATATCAGTCTTAGTTGGATCAAGGTTATCGTTAGACGCAGAACCGCAACCACTTGGCTAAGTGACATTCAAATGCTGTAAATTTATTTTAACAGAAATTGGTGACTTGCATGGTTAGAATCATGAATTGATATTACCTGGACCACCATCGTAAACCTGGAACACTGAACGGCTGTTCCGTCCTAGCATTGGTTTCCTCGGCATTGTGCATGCACAATCCCACACGTGAGTCTCCAACCCAGGACTTCGGCTGCTCAACGTCTAGACCACTGAGTGGTATCCAGCGGTGTAAACGTTTAACTTCAATCGATCCGTTATCTTTTGCAACCTTTCATCCATTGTGTGTAGTGGATAACTGTCTCACACTCGACATGGCTTGAACAAAATTGTTATGGCTGCTCACTAGAATTCCCAGAGTTACATTTTGAAGCTAATCACCAGTGAGCGTATAAGTGTTATTAATAAGGGGTCATCGTGGAGATTATATTATTTTTCAGTTGAAATCACGAACTGATCACCGTTGGTTACTCGCAGGTTTTAGCAATTTTAGCTCGTAATGGCTATATCTAAAACTTCTAACCTTTCTACACAATATTTCGCAAGACATGCTTATCACGACAGTGCATGTAGCATTAATGAATAAACAAAAATTGTGGTAATAAATTCAGTCCAATCACTGTCGTTTGTCATTTATTTCTTACAAAAATTGATGTATAATCAAGTTTAATATTAATTTTACTCCTTTAATGTTCTATAATTTATAATCTAATATATTTCTTTTAGGCTGAACGTTTAGAATGCATAAATAATTTTTGTTATTACAGCTCTAATTTATAATTTAGCATAATAAACCACGTGAAATGATTACAATAGATTTAATAGTAGAATTTAACAACAGTCATTATTCTAAGTTAATAAAAATAATACTAATGATTGAATAAGATGATCATCAGATCCACTCAATATACTTCATATACTATGAAAAATAGGTTTGTTCTTTAGGAATATAATATATATATATATATATATATATATATATGGTGTTGTGACTTTAAGCCTGGCTAGTTACCATGTGATTTATTTGCCAATCGGAATACGACTCATATAATCTTAGCACTGTGCCGAGTCAATGACTTTTGACCGGTATGAGTAGCCTAGTTTCCTTATTGATCATTTGTCCGCCTAACCCTTCCAGTTAAGTCCAGAACACAAATAACAACTTCCAATATGAGAATAATTTATTTCAAACATACCTGGTTTATATACAAGCCAAACGGACCACACCACGCCATAAAATAGAAAAAACACATTAAACTAAGAAGTGACTGTGATCGTGGGAGACGGTAATTGATAAACTGAACATAATTAAAGAACAGTAAATCGTATAATGATAGTCTATAAGTCAAAATAAAGCCAGTAATAAGAAGAATATAGATATACATAATCTAGTTACTGAATAATTATACAATAAGAATATTATATACAATATTAGTTCATTAATAGTCCTCAAAAGATATTCGTAGTTTACTCTCCACTAGGATATAACATGTGGAATCAAACGAAACTGATTTAAACAGCAAATGCTTTATCAACAAATGATCTGAGACTGAAGACTATTAAAACAGCTGTATTGAGTTGGTGAATTAGTGAACACGTGTTGAGTTAAACTATAAGGTGTTAACCTATACATGATCTATCAAGATTTTTCTAAAAGTCTTGAATTTATCTCAGAAAAATTCCAATTATATTTCAATGGCTTGAAAACATGGAACATTGAAATTGAATATTATGGATGTTACTGATTCAAACATTTTCACATGAATCTATTCTCAAACCCTGGCTGAAATAATTTCAAAAGATAGAACCATTGCCTAACGGGCTGAATATCTGGCCGTATAGAAAAAAACTGAAGCGATTATTTACATACAAAATATTCAACAAAAATATTGTTATCACAAGTCAGTTACGACTTAAGAACTAAATAATTGAAGAAAAAGCCAAGATCATAAAATAGCATGATTATTCAAATTAAGGCATTGTAATAGGTGTACCAAAAGATACCGATAATCCTCATTCAACCCTAAAGATTGTGATGAAAGTCTATTATTTTACCTTAACAGAGTATTTGTCTTATAACGTTCTGACAACTAATGTGTTTAAAAATATGCCGGATACGACTAGGTTAATTGAGTTGATATTTTACTCACTGAAGAGATTTCTATAGTTCAACTAGATAAATATGAATATATATATAATCTAATTACATAATAATTATCCAGTGAGAATATATTTAATAATAGACCATAAACTATTCCAAGCAGCTACCATTCATTCATTCTTCAATCGGATATAACAGCTACGTAGATCGTTATATTGCATCAGCGTATATTAGTAATCTACCTAGGTAAGACAATACTTCCGTCAATATTATTTTAGTGTATATTGATAAATAATCATACTACACGTGCAATAACATAGTAAGGAAATAAAAATATACGTAATAATATTCCGCTAATGAATTAATATATGTTTGTTAATCTATTGCAACGTGGATCTTACAGGAAATAAAAATTATTTGCAGCATTTTTACTGTCTGGTGAAGATCAAAAAGAACATTACTTGATAGTAGAAAAAATCTTGATATTTTAAAATTGGTTAAAATAATCAGTACCCGAACTGTTTTGAACATACAGTGTTACGCCCAGGCCATAGAGATCATTACAATTTATAATTGCCCTTATTACATAGTACCATCCGTACATGCGTATCACTTTCGCTGAACATAAAGCTAAAGGTTGAAATACACAGTTTTCTTGTAGGATGAAAGTGTTACATCTAACATATAAAAATGTGAAATGTTAACAATGAATTCCGGTTTCTCATTTCAGATGCTTGTATATTTACGCTTATGCTTATTTACTTTTGCATTCGTTGTTAAGGCATATTTTTTCAAGGGCAGAGAATGGAAATAAGTTTAAGACTTGTGAAAAAAACTTGTCAGCTTAAATGATGGGTTCAATTAATTCATTGAAATAGTTAAATGGAAAATAATTTCCTCTTTATCCATTCAGAATTTTATTAGTTTTCAGGTACAACAAACACTAACGTAATTAGAAATCAGTATCTGTTGGCAATAAACTGATCGTCATCATAATTGAGAAATAGTTATCAGTTTTTTCTAGTGTAATTTGGATAATATGTAGAGTCTTTCCGTTTAGAATGAAATTATGTACACGTAATTATTACAGCTTTTCTATTGTCACAATCGTTGGTGACTTCAACTGACATCAAGGGACAAATCTAGTTCTGTTTTCCATGTATTGAGTAAAAAAATGATACCACTCTTCCATTAACAACCACTTGTATCGTGTGGTGTTCGAATATAAGTGTTCTAGACTTTTCTTAAGATACTTCAGATTCAAGTTCGAACGTGATCACAGTCATAGGTAAGTATTTTTCTAAGCATATTGTTTCTAGCAAAGTTTCCGTCCCTGGAAGCACGAAAGCATACAGTCAGAGAATTCGAGTGGTCAACGTTTCTCTGTTTTTTTATTCGTCATTCATAGTTTCATTAGAATCAGAAACCATATTTGAAGTTTGTTTGCTAAAGAAGTGGTTGGAAACCTGTAAGGAGAAATCGCAATCGTCCTCACAGAAGAAGGTGATTATAAAAACTTAATAATGCCATTTTATTCAGAGCTTCATCGAAATTCAGTTGTCTAGGATTTTTAATTTCCAAGGAGAGATGGAAACTTGACTGTAGTTCATGGAAACGTGAGGATAACAATGGATGCAGTTCTTTGGCTTGTCAAAATAGTTCATTGATGCGGAACCTAACGGGATCAGAGTTCGGATCCGTCAAGCCTCAACTAAACCATTTCACTGGTGCATTTGATGTGACGCATTATGTTTTATTCATCAATTTGGGGGCGTCTATATCTGCTCGATGCGTTCAAGTTGATGCATAAGGTATATTATCAGGTTAATCTCTCAGGTAAATAATGTCATTACGTTAATGAATAAAATGAAGTTATAAAAAAGTCAGGGCATTAATTAAATTGTGTTACCATATCAACAAAGTGATTGTCAACTAATTACTAATTCTTACCCCATTCATATTATTCCATTTATTGCGTAACTCATGACTGAATATTTAATTCAATTTGCATTTGCATCATTGTCTTTCTCACTTTATTTCATCTATATTTGATGCTCATTATTAATCATACAATTTCATTTAACGTATCAACCTATTCAAGTTACCGGTGCATATTAATCGTTTCAACATTAACAATTTTATGATATTTTACAAACAATCTTGAATTCACACACTATAATTTGAAACGATGTAATCGGCTCGAACCTGTCCACTTTTTGGTTTTCTAATTTGAAAATAGAACTGTAGAACCTGAAGAGAATTTATTGAAAAGAATATTATTCGTCCAGATATTAGTGTCTTAAATATACGCCTCACTGTCTAAATATCGTAATGTCAGTCATTTTTAATGAATGTTATTTCAACGTCTACTTTCCAAGTCGTTGACCTACTTCTTGTTCTGGAATATTGATTCAAGCCTTCATTATTCGTATCAAACGTATTACATATGTAACCAAACCATCAATAGCCTCGAAGTGCCCTGGCAGAGCCGAGAGTGGAGACAGTCTGCTCTCACTTTCGAAATGCTCTCATATGGCCACGTGTATACAGCCACTGTCAGAAAAGTTATACTCACTACGTTCTCGCGGCAGAGGAGTTGTATACGAAATTGAGAGGACGAAAAGGATTAAACTACGAGAGTTTGAAAACCTTGATTACAAACCAATGGTGCATATGAACTTCAGTATTCTGAAGGAACAAACGGCGTATGGACCAATTGTTGGTCACCGGTTACCATGGGACTGCATCTCTCAAAGTTGCTCCAGTGCCTTGTGGATTAGACATTTAGGTCAAAGGCACTGGATGTGCACCCCTAAGAAAACCACCTGCTTCGGTCTGGACACCTGGGCAGTATCACAGCCCTCACACAAATCAAATGGAATGACAAATGATACTGGAAATATTATTCTAGCTTCAATTGAAATTCAGACAATTCGCATTAATTTTACTTTTTATATATTACGTCACTTATGCATTCGCCTTTATTCTCACGTCGCGTATATTATTTTTCAATTTATACAGCAGCTCGCCTATGGTGGAAACCCTGTTCTATCTAAATGATCTCGAGTCACTGACTGGTCGAACGTTGAATGCTACCACCAAATACGAATACTGAAACAGTCTTTCTAAAACCACATATACCATTCAAACTGGTTTCCTTCAACGTTCGCACACTAATGCAGGGTTGGCTACGTCTTTAAAAAGTCCTTATATCGATGTTTGTTGTCTGTCCAAGACTCGTATTCAAAACTCTAGTGAAATAGTACAAGTTCGCTCTCCGTCTGTCGCTTCGGAAAGCTTGTTTTACACGCGTTTATCCGCGGATCCTGTGGCATCTTGGTCTAGTTTTGCTGGTGTTGGTGTTGCACTAAGCGCTAGAGCTGAAGTGGCACTGACCGACTGGATCCCTATTAACAGTCGCTTATGTGCTATTAGATTAGGAAATTCCATCAAAGTGAGAAGAAATTGGTGTGAGAAACGATGTCTTTTCGCCATCTCCGCTTATGCTTTGACAGATTGCAGCCCGGATGCGATCAAGGATGAGTTTTACCACCAGCTAAACGTTTTTCTACAGAAAGTGAGTTCGACGGATATTGTAGTACTAGCGTGAGATTTGAATGCTCAGGTCAGACATGTAGGCACTGGCGAGAGTTGTTTAGGTAGCCGACGGGTTGCATGACGCCATTAAAATGGTGAATGAAGTCGCATGAGGGTTTGCGAAATGTCCCGCTTATAAGCACTGGGTTTCCTCAGACTCCTCACAACTCATTGAAACCTATCGGTCTACTTCAGGTAACCACGTGTTTGACCACAAACGAAGACTGTTACGTAATGAAATTGGCCAAAGCTTGAGTAAGGACCGAGAAGCCTGGTAGTCGGAGCGTATCAATAAGTTGAAAGCAGCAGCTGGATCTAATAACTTCCGGAATTTGTTTCAACTCATCTGAGCCATTAACAGCAAGAAGTCTGGTGTGAGCGAAACAATCTATGAAGATGACGGGATGCCAATCACTAACATCTATCGACGTCTATGACGATGGGCAGAGTTTTTTGAGGAGCAGTCCAAATGTTTCAACATACAAATATGTAAATCTATAGGTTAGCTGAAAATTCCTCTACCTAATCACAAAATAATTTATTTAACAAACTACTTTTTCTTTAAAAGAAAAATTCATTCATAAAATATTACTCTTCTTAACTAAGTTGCAATTACTACTGAACTACGTAACTACTAATTCATAAGATTATAAGCATGAAGAAAAAAAATTATCGAGTTCTATATAGGGAAAAACTATCATTCGAACCATAATACAAACAATAACTTCTTAATAGACGTAATAAATTCAAATGATAAACATTCAATAGTATAACATAAGTAAAATAACATACCAATTCAAGTTTCTCAATAAATAATGATAATAGTAATAATGGTCCAATTAAAATTGAATTTTGTATACAACTTCCAAATGTAAACACTTAGAAAAGTAAAAAAAGTAATCGATATAAGTATTTCGAAATGTTTTACGTCATTCATATGAGTTAGTTCCAAACAACAACAAAAAAGGTACAAGGAATTTCATTATTCAAGAATGAATTGCTGAAATTAAGAAAGGTAGTTTTACATAGATATATAATGATAACATTCATGTAACACAATATCTAATCATCTATCCATCTGTTCGAGTGTAATGTAATATCTCAGTTATGAAACATATTGTTTTTCCATAACGAACTTGACTTTCTATTCTTTATTAATTAAATGACGGAATTTTATGTTGTCAAGGTTAACTGTCGGTGTTAATTTTTATCATACTGTCTACTGTTTCATTATATGTTTAACTGTTTACTAGTTGATTTCTTGCTATTAAAAGCTTGTGTTTCAGTGTCTAAATTTGGTTCACTTCTATGGTTATTAATAGGTGTTAGTTCACCTCCCATAGCCGAATGTCGATCATCATATGCATCAACTGATTGTTTATTCTTAGAACTCATTGTTTTTGTTGTTGGTATTGTGGCTCTTTTCTTTTTTTGTGTTGTTGGACAATTTTGTTTTAATAACTGGTTAAGGAACCGATAAAACTCATAATCTGCTACACTTTGTTGTACTTCATGATTGTCGTTTGAGGGTACATGTAAATTTCTTGATGATTGTGAACGCGCTTGTGGATATTTTATATTTTTTTGCATTATTTTATTTGTATGATAACTTCCAGGAATAGAAACATCCATAGTAGAAGAATTTGATGCGGATGCCGACGAACTCAACCGCTTGCGATGAATTACCTTAGTATTCATTTTAGAGATCGATTTGTTCTGTTGATTATTTGAATAGGATAGATTATTGTTATATACACCGGCTGACTGAGCCTGTTTTCTGGAAATACGTTTATTATGATTGTTCTTTCTAGACATTGCAACATTTTCTTCATATAAAGGTAGACCGGGTACAACTGGTTGTAGATAGGGTGATATACTTGGTTTGGGCAAACGAGAACGTCCTGTTAAGGGTGAATAATTAAAATTCTCTTTTTCCAAATATCGTTTCAATGCTAAAGGTAGTTCTTTTTCTAAGTAGATTTGTGAATATGGTAAATGTTTAGAATTTTTCGGAGTTTTATCATCTACCCCAGATGACGTAAAGTGATGGCAATTGTCATTTTGTACATTAATATTATTTTTAACTGTTGAGATCAAAGTGATTGGAACATTTTTCTTTTCAGTTCCCATAGTCCTACTTTCACTAGACTTATCATTTCGTAATTTTAAATCTGATGGAGTTGGTACTCGGACTATGAGCTGTATTGAAGTATTTGTATTTTGTCCACTATCATGATTACTTGAGCTGTTTCTTCCACTTCCATTCTTTAAAGTAATGGATGAAGAGCTTTCAGTTGAGGTGACGCTAAGTGATTCACTCAAGGATTTATCCGTTACATGTCGATTATGTGCTGTGCTAATAGTTTCATGCATTGGTTCTTCAGAAGACAATAAGGGTGAAGATTGTGTTGACAGTTTTTTTCGCCTTCTCCTATCCAGACATGTTTGTACACTTGAATCCTTCAATGTTAGGGACACGATAAATTCGCTTATTGGTTCAGTGGATGAATCAATCATCTGTGGTTTTTCTCCCACTATTGTTTCAACAACCATGGAACTTGAAATGTCTGTTTTACCTATTGGCTTTAATTCATTTTCTGGATTGAAAACACCAGATGCTGACATTTTCTCTTGATTAACATCATTATGGTTATCATTAGTGCGAATATCGATTTTGGTATTATCATTACCGCTACTTTGAAACTTATCAATGCTAACTTTTCCTTCATTTGATAGTTCCTGATATGTCCGACCACCATATTGTTTTATTAGATTAATGAGTAAATTTTTCGATGTTTCATCATTAGTTTCATTTAAGTAAGCCAGATTTAATGGGGTAACATATTCATCATTCGGTAGACGAGTGACAGCATTCACATCGGCTTCATGTTCTAACAGATAATGACACAATCTAATACCAGATGGTTCAGTACTCCATGAAGCTGCTACAACTAAGTGCAATGGGCTATGACCTTGAGATTCCGTTGCATTTACAACCGTATTAAAACCTGGTAAATTAGCTAACTGTTTAATAAAAGATACATTTCTTAGTAAACATGCTTCATGTAAAGCTGTTAAACCAGTTTTATTTGCAAGCCATGGATTTAAACCAGCCTCAACTAAACAGGTCAATTGAGTTTTGATAAGACTGTCAAATTTAATCCCATTGGACAATGAATTTAATCTAGCTAAGCAATGACACACAGTACGACCTTTAAAATCTGTATGCATAACATCGGCTCCAGCTTTAATAAAGCATTCAGTCACATGAATATGACCAGTTGCAACAGAATAAAACAATGGACTACATCCATCATTATCATTTACATCACGAAGCAGGGCAATTTTACTCTCATCATCTTTGTTTGCAATTGTTATCCAATTCAAGATAGTTTGAACTGTTTGTAAATTACCTCTAGATGCAGCACAGTGTAATGCAGTCAAACCATGTGAATCTTTATGACTTAAATTAGCACCTAATTTAAGTAATATTTCTACAGCATGCGCAGAACCAACTGTAGCTGCCCATATAATTGGTGTACGACCATGTGTATCCGGTGCATTTAAATTTGCTCCACCGATATTGATTAATAATTCAAACAGTTCATCGATTTGTTCAGCATTCACCTGAACAGAATAATGTAAAGCTGTAGCACCTTGATCATCATATTCATTTACAATTTCTTTTATAGAATTATGATTATTACTGTTAGTTAAAAGATAATTTAAAACATCTAATTGTGAGTAAATAACACATAGATGTATAATTGTCCGACCAGTATTATTTATTTCACTTGAATCACTATGACTTGTTGATGATGAAGATGACATTATTGATCTTGCTTTTGTCTTAACTTTCATATCTACATTATTAAATTCATTTAATACTTTTAAAAAATCTATATCACCATGAATAACTGCTAAATGTATCGGAGTAAATCCATTATGATCGTAGTAAGTTAAAAATTCCGGATTTGATTTAATTATGACTCGTGTACATTTTAATCTATTCAATTGTCGTTGAAATATCTGAATGTCATTTCCATTCGGCTTTTTATCATCTTTTTCATTAGCGATTTTCTCTTCTCCAAATTTAACACAATAGTGTAATGTAGTTTGTCCAGTTTGATTATCGATTACATTTCGGAGATTTCCTCCATCAACAATAAATTTACCTAAATAGTCTAAATCACCTTGACGACAAGCATTTAATAATTTCAACTTGTCCTCATTATTTGGATTAATTGTAGACGATGGTGTTGAAATCATTTTTGAATCTGATGGTTTTTATTATATGTGTATTGTCTTCACAGATTAGAAAGCTTTCAAATAATTTTACTTATTCCTGATTTAATCACTTAATATTTATTATATGAGAAGGATACAGTCACGCGTAAATTTTAATATGGCTTTTGAAAATCTCTTTGAGGAATACATTTTATATACTCCTATTGTAACCATAACAACATCGTTTACTAACTGTATGATTGGTCATTCCACTACTATTCCATTGATTGATGAATCGTGTCAAGGTCAAACTAATGCGCACTTAAGGAATAAAAATAAACTTTCTATCCAGATAAAGATTATTCTGCGAAATTTTAAAGTTAAATTTACAACAATAAAGGAATATGATGAGATTAACCTAATTATTTTGTTTATCGTATTATACTAAATTTTAAATTATGTAAAAGTTAGACTAATTTTAAATAATGTAGACCTTGATTGAAAATGTTTTCTTTTGTTTTGTCTCATTAAGTCATATAATGACCAATTGTGTTACATAACTCTGAATACATCACTAGTTTTCACATTTTTACATCATTATAATTAATTTAAAGAAATTTATATCCAATAAGAAACGGAGACAATAGGTTGAATTGTATGTAGTCAACTTCAAAATACAATAAAGTAAAGAATTCTCAGCGCCCGTTGTTTCAACAAATAACTGTTTAACATACATTCAATTGTAATTATTCGAAGTAAATTTTAAAAATATTTCTCATAATCAGTATCTCCTATGTATATTGAAGTCATTAAGGTTTTCTACCAAAGCTGATACAACTATTCTTTCATCCAGCAGATACTGAATGCAAGAATTACAGTTTATTTGTCTCTCGAATTGTTAAAGGATAGATAAAAAGGAAAATGTACTACGAACTTCAGTGTTTCTGTTTCAGCACATACAGTTAGCATTCATAATTGTTCAGTTCGAATGAATATAAAACAGGTGGAATATTTGTTTCCTGATGCGTAATTAAATAGTTACAATATGTAGCAACCCCGAAATTTAAATGTATTTGATACATTGATAATTTAAATCTAAAAGCCTAACATCTATGCCATGAAGGCTACTAGAATCAAGGATGTAGTTGCAATAATATAAAATGACGACTTTCAAGTATAGTCCATCTTCCAAGAGCATGTGTCAAGTGTGTATTAAGGTAGTTATTGATAATCAACCAGACCTTCTCAATAGGTTAAAATCAATACAACTAGAATAAGAATTCTTGACATCCAATTCAACAGTTAAAACAACTAATCCCAGAGAAATTCACATATACGAACGAGGGATAAGCTTTCAAATAACCAGTGATCAAACCCAAAATGTGTTGTATGGAAAATACATTCATTATCATCAAGAAGTACGGAGTGGTAAGCACCTACGATATTATCAGATACGATTTTCGTGATATAAGCTTAACAAAGAAAAGGGAAATAAAGAGCAAACTACCAACTATTGGATGAGTTGTTCCCCGGAACTGCCACTGGAAAGCCAGAGAATCAAGTGAATGAGAAGTCATCCTATACTGATCAAATTTTTATATAACATACTAAAAATTCAGCAGCACACAAGACGGACTGAATATGAAACTTTACTAAGAAGAGCGAAAGCACATTCCAACAAACCCTATCAAGAAATGACTACTGGGAAAACAGCATTACAAAGGTTCAATACAACCTTCCTTCAAGATGCTCACAAACTGAACGAATTCAAGATAGCTCTCAACAACAGGTTCCAAGCCTTATAAGATTTACTCACAGAAGAAACTGCTAAGGAGGACAACTGGAAAAACATCAAAAAAGCACTGACTTCAACAGATGTTATTCACTATATTTACACCTAAAACTGAAAAACATGCAGAAACTATCACCATTGTTAACCTTTATGCCAGTTTTAATTTAATAAATAAGAATAGGAAATACTACATCAAAGATGCTCAGGTTCCTTTATTGATTTCGATTTATTTTAAAAGGTGTGATTTATAGTAATGTGGTGAAAATCAAATGAAACAAGCACGACCAAATGACAAGGATTGAAACTGTATTTTCTGTTGTAGCAAAAACCAAACAACTACACTTGACTTTTCTTTTAAGCAAAAAGCAAGAAAATTCTGAGGAAATCAGACTGATAAACGTTACCTACACACTGAATATTATTGTTAGTTTGTGCAGTGAATGCTTCACAATATGATACAGTAAAACGTTTAGTCAATTGACTGAATTGCTCTGTATAAATACTAAATTGGTTTTATTATGTTTTAGGATAAAGTTAAGTATTCCCTATTAACTCCCTAATGAAATTGACTAGTGAATGATGCTGACACTATTTTTTAATCCTTTTTTAATTTAAAAACGTTCCTGATAAACTCATCAAAATCACTAAGTATCATTTATAGTTCCCGGTATTTTGGCCATTTCCCATCACAGAGTTTCCTTAATTCGAATTATTTACTTAATGTTGTGTAAAGTGGTTAGACTATGGGTTACATTTAGTATCCAGTGGTTAATTATATCATTTTATAACTAAAATCAATGCAATTCAATCAATTTTTAAACCCGTAACTCAACGAAGAATATTGACCAATTATTTAACTCGATTTGCATTATTATTATTATTATTATTATTATTATTATTATTATTATTATTATTATTATTATTATCTCTCTCGCTTTATGTCATCAATATTTGATGCTCATTATTAATCATACAATTTCATTTAACGTATCAACCTATTCAAGTTACCGGTGCATATTAATCGTTTCAACATTAACAATTTTATGATATTTTACAAACAATCTTGAATTCACACACTATAATTTGAAACGATGTAATCGGCTCGAACCTGTCCACTTTTTGGTTTTCTAATTTGAAAATAGAACTGTAGAACCTGAAGAGAATTTATTGAAAAGAACTTTCTCTGTTCTTATGTGTGTCTTGATATGATGGAAGCTTTTCAGAGATACAAAAGATGGATTCGAAATAAAGGGTGAAGAAACATAAACGAACAAATAGTACGGAAAAATTACTGTGCTGCATGGAAGTCAGTTACAGGACTATTGTGTACACTTAAATTCAGAGGTTTTAAGCATTTATAAATTTCCTGTTAAGTTGTACTGAAAAAAAGAAAAGACAATAACTGCTTGAAGAACAAGAACATTAAGAAGAGATGGACAATAAGAGATTATTCTATACACTTAAATTTGTACTTATATTGGGATTCAAATTCTCAGTCACTCAGTGAGACATGGAAAACGTAGGCCTGGGATGAACAGGCATCGATTCAGGCTGTCACATTATCACAGCTGTATAAGTTTAGTTGATCTCTCAATGTTTATTTCTTGCTTACCAGTTTAGATAATGAAAAAGAAACTCGACCACAGCTATTTTTGAGTTTCGTTCTTGTTAGTTTGCATGAGAAGTCAGAAATAAATTAGAACGAATGGTCAATCTAACGGGATTACTAAAAATATTACAACATAAATACTTTGACACGAATGCATAGTTAAATGAAACATACTTTTTAATTTTGAGAATCGAATGAATTATTCTGACGTCAAGTAAATATTTTAATGATTTCCAACGGCTTAATGATAAATCCTTACTGGTCATGTAACATTTTTAATTTACAGAGTTCGAAATTGTTTTATAACTAATGTATTCTTTCAAGATAATGAAGATACACTAACGTTAAAAGTTAAAACATAACTTACTAACTCCATTATTGTGATTTATTTTTATATAATTAAATGAAAAATTGTACTATATTTATGGTCTCTAGTTAATACGTTTTTTAGGTTATGAACATTCCGATATCCCATTATCTATATATCACGCCAATTAAATGCTTTGTCAATAAGTAGACAAAGCCTAGTCCATTTGTTTATATATTTTCCGGTTATAGAAATATCTGTAAAGGTGTTTATATTTGGGTTAGGTTGTAATCAGTGTCATTAGAATCCTAGTTTATTAATATACTTACTACTTATTTCGGACTAATAACCGTTTGTTTAGCTTCTATGTTATTTTAATTTTAATAAGCATTAAACAAAAGGAAAATCCTAGTTTGTTATAGCTGTACTATTTGGATCTGTATTAGTAAAAGTTTGAGTTATGCCGTTGTCAATATTTAAGTCTGAATTGTGATTAGACTTTTATGCCATGTGAATTCGAAATCCATCCATAAGCCCATTATTTTATAGCGTACTATGTATGTTTCCGTTTGAAATTCATCTTTGTTTTTGTTTATTATTTTAATATATTGATCCGAGAGATAACCAATCCATCTTTTATCTCTTCATGGACAGATCTTCTACCCCGAGACTCTCACTGACTTACAACAGATAGATGAGAGAGATCTGTTTAAAGAAGACGCTAGCAAAAATACAACTCATCTGAACGCTTAAGGTAAAAATGAAAAACTTTCAAGATGATTCGCTGTCTATTTAAAGGTAAAATGATCCTTTAAAACTGGCCTACGTCGTTGTTTGGTTAGATCATAAGCAGTGAGCTATGTGAATCTGTTAGGTAATTTAGTTATCTTGAAAGTCATAACGGTTTGCCTAGCTCATAAGCTGTATATTGAAAAACCCATTAACTAGTTTTGATAGCTTCTAATATATACTAAAATATACTATTCATAACAATCGACATGGTTCCTTTTCAAATCTGAATTTTAACTTTCGATAAATTTAATACTAAAAATTTGCTTATGAGCAAATTTTCCACCTAAGTATTCATTTAAGAATTAGTTTCATAAATAGCCAAATGCATATAATCTTTATTTAACTTTTACACTCAGGTGAAACTTATTTAAACATTTTGAGACGATACAGAATCACGATAATTATCTAATCAATAATCTTAATTAAATTCAGAGGACATGATATACACTTTCATATTTTATGATATATGGTTCCTGTTTATTTGTCTAGAAAATGTGTGGTCAAATAAAAGCTAACGTTACTTTCACTGAAGTTAATTAAAATATTTCTAATAGAACATTTTACAGTTAATGAAGTCTCATCGACGGCTCTAGAACGTGGTTAAAAATCATCACAGCGTGAAAGAAAATGCATAATATTTATTTAAATATATTGGCATAATTTACTTTACAATGAATC